TCAAATTCATTAGAATCCACTTAAGCAAGTAATTTAATACTTTTCAACATGAATTAGCAGAGTGCACTTTTCCTTTGTTTACAATTTAGTTGCCAAACACACTACAGCAGATCGTTTGACACATTTACCAGAATTTACCAGCAAAAAATTCTCGGACTAAAACTGGTAACTTCTGACAGAGAGAGAACCGTATTAACTCTCTTTTTTGTCCTCTCAATAGTCAGAGAACCGAGTACGGGATCGATTTCCAGTAAAATCTGACCGATTCTGACTATTTCTGACTAGTCCGGACTCGTACGGGATCGCAACTTCTATTGTCAAATACACCGACCAGCTGATTACTTGCTAGTTTCTGCTAGTTTTGCGTTTCTTTACTTTTTCGTTACTTCGCTCTCTGTGAGCGTAATTCTTTCAATTTTCTCATTCTTCTTCTTCCTGATAGTTATCTGCTAGAAAAGAAAATAAACAAAGCCTATATCTAAGCAACTACGGTGTGGGTTTTATATAATAGATACCCTGCTATAATACTTGTTTACTAAGTAGGTTTCCGAAAATTTGCTGGTTTTTAATTTAAGTGGCGCTATGGTAAATTGGGTACAAGGAAAGCGTTTTACTGTAAAATAATTTAATTGTAAAGTAGAAAACAAATCTACCTTTTCATATTTTCGACATCCTTCTAAAACCAACAAATATCTGCAAGCATATATGTATGTACATACATATTGAGGATTATTAACGAAGTTGACCTTAAAAGCTAAAAGCAGTGATATGCGATTTTTCTACCATCATTAACCGCTATTAAAAAAAAAAAAGTAACGAAAGCAAGGACGCCTAAGGCAAAGTATGGAATGTGAAAAGAGCCAATTATGGCATATAAAGAAAAAAGACAAAAAATACAAAATGAGAGTGAGGTTTAGGTAGAAAGAAATGAAAAGCAGAAATCAATAAATGCGAAAAATCGTATGCGCAGACTTGAGTAAGTGTCTAGAGCTCATCCCTAGGGTAAGGCGGTTCTTTGCAAGAGCAAGTGAAAACCTGTTCGACCTTCTCCATGCCAGGCAACACGGTAATAGGTGAGACGAGACGGTTGCTCCATTCCTAAAAGAGTTAAACAGCAAAATTAGTTTTGAACGAATATTGGCTCTTTGATATAATAAAATGGACGAGATGCTTTTGTTAGTCGAAATATTAACGTAATTTGTGATGCAAAAAAAATTATTGGAAAAAAAAACAAGTAAGAAAGTCTAAGTTCGGGCGGAGCCGAACATAAAATACCTTTCCGAAAGCTACCGCTACATGGTAAGCCGGGGTGTATAAATTTTGAGTATTAGCCTCCTTAAATTTCGAAATATTGAAGTTTCTAGCATTTCTGAAATTTACCGTTATATGAAAAGCGGCCGTAATTTTAGTCGGATTTCAATAATTTTCAACGTTTTTCTTCTAGGTGGCAAGCACAATAACCACACCGAGTTTGGTACAAATTGGTAGAACGGTTACCGAGATCCATAAATGTGATCATAAGTGGGCGCCGCTCCGCCCATTTTCCAAAATAAATTTTATCATAAACGTGTGTCTTGGTAAAGAATTGTTGCAAGCATCAATTTTGAATAAATTAGCTTTAATATTTACTGATTTATCGAAGATTTCGTATTTCTCTAAATTACCGTTATATGGGATGTGGGCGTGGTTATTGTCCGATTTTAAAAATTTTCGGCCATTTCGTATGTTATACCAAAGCCAACCACTGTGCCAAGTTTGGAAGAAATTGGTGCAGCGGTTACCAAGATATACACATGTAACCATAAGTGGGCGTGGCTACGCCCATTTTCCATATATTTTTAATATTCTTATTTTTCGTCTAAAACTTAATATTCATTTTGAGTGAATAATCTTCAGTAGTTACTGAAAATTACCGTTATATGGGAGGTAGGCGTGGTTATTGTTCGATTGTGCCGTTTTCAATACCATCCGTCCTACGCCAGAAAGAAGTGCACTACCAAGTTTCGTTAAGATATCTCAACTTTTACTCAAGTTATCGTGTGCACAGACGGACGGGCGGATGGACGGACAGACAGTAACCGCTTAATGGATTTCTCTTTTCATTCTGATCATTTATGTATACATTTGTCTATATCTATCTCGATTCGTTTTGAATGCTACAAACAACCGTTATGTGAAAAAAGTTATAATACCCTTGTGCACAAGTGCGCTCGGGTATAATTATTTCATGGTAAATGAAACGGAATTAAGTACCACTTACCTTAAATAGCGCCATGTGATAGCAGTATATGTTTTGTGGCATCAGGTTTTTCTCCACAAATTTACGGGCTTCAGCCACGATCTCACGCGCACGGTCTTCATTTTCTCTGGCCCACTGTAGACGTTCAATTAAATCGCTTAAATCACGCTTGAAGGGCACATAGTGTTTAAAAGGCGTTAGCTTGCTGTAGAAATGTTCATAGAAGGTAGACATCTGTTTGAAAACCAACGAATCACCGGCAAGCAAATAAGGAAAGCGATAGGCAGCTACCACGCCATCCACATTTAACTGGTATTTGTACTGCAGGAAACAATTTAACATTTTAACATATATTAAGTTGCTAATATTTACTAAAAGTTACCCGAAAGAACTCCAAAAAAGATATATGCGGAACTTTTGGGCCATACTTGTCCTCCTCGTTGCGGAAGAAAAAGAAATTTGTGAGTGATGCATTAATCAGTTCAGGATATTTACGCGCCAGCTCAATTAATTCGAGTCGCTCCCGGCGGGAATCTCTACCTCGCCAAAATGCCTTGTTCTCTTTTATGTCCCAAGGGTATTCGTTCTTTTGCACCGACAACATATCTAAAGTTACACGTCCCATATTTTCCAAAGTTGATTCAGTAATATCGTAAGTGGGTAGCACTATATCATACGAGTCATCACTGCCACACCATGAGAATATCGGGTACGGGCCAGAGGTGCGCTGTTGTCCACCTTTCTTCGAAAGCGGCCAATCTCCCAAATTCAAATAGAATTCCATATCTGGCAACATAACAACACGTCCCAACGCCAATAGTGTAGCGTCCATGAACATTTTAAATCCAGTGTACTTTCCGTAGCATTGACGCCATACTTGCTGCTGCTTTACCACATAATGGCATAACGACACACTCTCTGGTTGGTTGTAACGCCTTAAAAGGTTCTCGCGTATAGCGCTAAAGTTCACACGCTTGAACGAATGTAAGTCCCAAACGATTTGTTTATCGTCCAAATAGGAGGGACAACTATTGTGCAACATCCAGAGATTTAGCTCTTGCGGGCAGTAACAGCGTTCTGAATACACTTTATTGTATATGACATACGGTGATTGCGCCACATGCGAACCATTGTAGCGCACCTCTAGCTCTACTTGATCGCACCAGTCGGCAATGGTGTAGCGCACAATTGAAGAGCCATCACCGCGATCGATTAGATTCACGTTAGACCGACATTTACCATGCGGTGAATTGCCTTTGACAGACACTTGAAAGTCTTGAGGGGGGCGATTGCTCAAATCTGCCTCGAAAACAAAAAAAAATTAATTACTCAACACACGAGTGTAAACTTTCACTAATTATGCAAAATATGCCACTCACTTGCGTCCGTTTTTGTCCACTGCGTGTATGAAGAAATAACGTGCGGGCAAGACAACTTCATCCGGCTTCAAGCCGGGTCCCCACACCAGCGTTTTTTCTGCATCCACTATCCGTCTTCCCTCAAATGAGTAAACCAAATCGGAAAATGTTAATATTGCAGCCGGTAGAAAGGTATACAACAACATTTCACGACCTTTTCTTCTATCTATTAAATTTTTTATGTAGATATGCGTTCACAAAAAGTTCCAAACAAATAGCAAACAGCCGCTGATAAGCAATAGTGATGTGCTGAATTGCCGGTTACACTATACTCGGTACCCAATACTTCCTTTTCAGTACCCAGTACCGATTCTATACATACATACATTAAACGTTCGCTATAATAAGCTGTATTCTTTTACAAATTATCCAGTAGCAACATGCGATCGCTGACACGATCTGTCTTACCAGAGCGCCATGTAATTTTTTCTGTAGTTGTAGCCCGTAGCGCAGAAATCTGCGGAATTTAAATTTTTCCGTGTCTGCTGATGTCTTCCTTCTATAGATGGTTGCCACTTCGTCAGTTTTGCAGATGGTAAAAAAGTTATAGGTTCCTATACCAAATACGTTAAAATATTTGAAATTTACTATTGAATAAGGTTTTTTGTTGAAAACTAAGTAGTTTATATTTAGCTATAATCTATTATAGCACGAAAAATTGTAGTTGAGAAGGTATGTTTATGAAAAGGCATTGATGAATGGCAACACTGTAGTAAGCAACACTGAGGGCTCCAGTAATAGACAAAATTCTGCGTATACAACAGACTGGGTTTAAGTATACGTTCTGCGTTCTTGACTAACTTAAGCTTAACACATATATGTAATACTCCTATATTGGTAGTAAGAGCTAGTACCGTCCGAAAACACTACAGTACAGATATATCAATAAACACGTTCGAAAGAAAAGGAACACATACGTTTATAAATAAACATGTACACAACAAACACCCAAAAACGGCACTCACGTACACAATACATTGACAAAAACGGTACTAGACTGTCTCGCTTTGATTTCGAAATGCTTTCACATTGAGAAGCTAGCTTACTGCCAATATAGAAGTATTACATATATGGCTTAACACCACCTTTTATAAATTCGCCTTGGTACCGAGTGTCGAAAGTATTGGATACTTTTTAAATCGGTTCCGAGTATCGATAAATCTTTAAAGTACCGACTCAGCACAACACTAATAAGCAAAAATCTACATCTGACGTGAGTGTTGCCAGACGATAACCAAAATAAAAAGAGTCGGGTATTTTAGCTTATACCATGTACGAAATTTTTGTTATTATTCTTGAAAGAAATATTTAAAAAATTGTATTATTATTTTTGTTACTTTTAGGGCTTTTCTTGTGTTGACCTCCTTAACGCTGGTATGAGGCAGTCTGGAGTATTCTACTTGCAAATCCGTGGCACTACTTATTGGTTCTTAAAGGTCTATTGTGAGCAAGAAATTACCGATGGCGGCTGGACGGTAATTTCTTATTGGAAATTTTAAACAAAAATCTCAAAAAAATACTAACAACCCATTTGCACTCTTTTATTTCAGGTCATTCAAAGGCGAGATGATTTCGGTGAGCCGCGTGAGAACTTCAATCGTGATTGGGCTGACTACAAAAATGGTTTTGGCGATCCAGCGAAGGAGTTCTGGCTAGGTAATGAGAACATTTATATGCTAACCAATAATGAGGACTATGCGCTGCGTGTTGAGCTAGAGGACTTTGAAGGCAATAAGAGGTACTTATAAAATTTTATGTGCTGGAAACGGGCTTACACAAATTAAAATCTAAATGCAAACTTTTTATTAAAGATATGCACAATATTCGCATTTCAAAATCCACTCGGAAGCTGATTATTACAAGTTGGAAATCGATGGTTATGAAGGAAATGCTGGCGATTCGCTCAATGATCCATGGTACGGTTCCAACAATAGTCCTTTCTCAACATACAATAGAGACAATGATCGCAGCTCACTGAATTGTGCTAGCATGCTCAAGGTGACGATTTTTCTTATACTAAGTGTATTTTCAAAATTATAATACGTTATATTTTGCGTATTTATTAGGGCGGCTGGTGGTGGAAGTCTTGCGGTCGTGGCCTAAATGGTCTTTACTTGCATGATCCGCAAGATTTAACAGCACGACAAGGCATTGTTTGGTTCCGCTGGCGCGGTTGGGACTACACACTAAAAAAGGCCACCATGATGATTCGTCCTCGGGCCCCTCAACCTATGGGTAGTACAGTATCTACGTCATAGGCTAACCTATTTCGAGGCGCTAAGTTGTAGCCAAGAACGACAACTGTTTTGAAAGCACCTAAAATCAACCGCAAACTAGTTTCAAATTAAATAGTTTTAAAAGCATAGTGGCATTTTAAAAATGAAACTTTTTTCATGTAGACAGGCATTTTCCAGTTCAGTTGAAACACCCTGTGCA